GACAAGTGGCTCTCCAGTGGATGTTAGGAAAGCACTAGTTTTGCATGTGAGTAAAGTTCTTGCAAGTTTGCCTCCACATGAAAATCAGGCTTCAATTGATGAAGTCCTTGCTGAATTTGAGAAGCATAACATCAGGCTAAGTCAGTCAAGGCAACTCGGAGATGAAGCTCAAGGGAGTGAGGTAAACCTTGGTCCCTCTTTAACTCCACAATATTACATATCAAGGCCTACCTTGCCTGCAAATGAACATGTATCATTTTACAGACCTCCCACACTTGAAGAGGAGTATAAAGAGAGGATTAATTCAAATCCTGTCAATGAAATGAAAGGATACCCACCAAACTTAGTTTTTGATTTTAATAACAATGACATGGGGCCCAGGCCTAGACCTGGAGGGCAACAAAGGCCTCCAATGTATGAACAACAGGCAAATGAAGGCCCTAGAGATGGTACCCATAACCTAATGGACCAAAAGGTAAGGCAACCAGAGATGATGAGGCCTTAGCATGTGCAAGAACATGTGCACCAACAACCTTATCAAGAGTTGAGCGGACTTAGGCCTCCCTCATTCCAACAAGAGTTGCAACAACCACCCTATCAACAACTACCATATCCACAACTACACCAACAACCACCATATCAACCACCACCACTATACCAACCACCATATCAGGTACACTACCAGGAGCCTAATGTTGTTGAACCAAGGCCTAGAGGGCCTGGACCTCCTCCTTTGCAACAAGACTTTTATGGAGGGGGGCAATAACAAATGCAGATAGGCCATGACCCTATGCCAAACAGACAACAGATCATAAATATTATACAAGAACTGTATGGCCCAGGCCTGAGAAGGCCAAATAGGCCAATGTTTAGGAGCCCTTACCCTCCATGGATAAAAACAACCCCCATTCCAAGGAACTATATAATTCTTGAATTTACCTTGTTTACAGGGAAAAAAAGGCAGTCAACCATAGAGCACGTAGGCAGGTTCATACTTCAATGTGGTGAACCTGGTTATGATGATAATTTAAAGCTGAAACTCTTTGTAGGCACCTCATTTTGACTGTTCTTAAGACTTGGGCACCTCACTCTGCACACTCGATGATGAAATGTTATACTGTATAATCTTTCGAATCATTAGCAAAAGAATGTAGTTTTGAGCTCCAAACCCAAACCTTACACCTCATTCTGACCAAAATGTTTTAGCCCCTTAAAAATCCTCTTTTCAAACTTTACACCTAGTCGTGTGTATTTGGATCCGACCGTGGATATTTAGGCCCGACCGGCTCTCAACGGCAACAAGACAAAAAATGACCGGCAGGCCATTTTTGTGGGTCGACCGTACATCCTCATGGCTGGCTAGTCATGTTTAGCGCAACAGATATTTTGACAGCTGCCACCTGCTCCCATGCACATGCTTTGGACTAGCTGTCCCTTTGCAGATATTTCTGATGAGAGAAGCTATTTTTCTATAAATACAACACCCCCTCATGGTTTAAGGTTAGAAAAATTCTCCAAGAGCCCAAAATCTTGACTAACCATCTTCTCTACCCTCTTACAATATAGATACACAATACATACACTTTACAAGCTTAAACTTAAAGCTTTTGTGCTTTGTTAACTTGGAAGCTCTTCCTCTCTTTCAAGAGGTAAACTTTGACCTTTTTCACCATCTTTTCTCTCTCTTTTCTTTGTTTTTATAGAGCTATTTCGGATTTATTTTAAGCTTAAAATGTGATAAAAGCTTTGTTAAAAGTAAGTGAGGTAGCTACCATTTCATTGGCTAGTTCACTTATTGTGCACCCCTTTGTTTTCTTTCATTTTTTTTGCTTTCTTTTCACTTTATTTAGTAAATTTTAGTACCTTTTTAGCATTGTTTTTAGGTTGTTTGTGTGTGATATGAATTGAATATGGGCTTACAAAAGGGTCCTAGTCCTCCCCACTACTTGTGCTCTTACTTATTATGCTTTAGGATATAGCGGCCAATTCGTTAAGTTGATCATTTTTAGCTTTCCTTATGTCTCTTGGAACCTTATGGTCATGGGAGGATTAGAGCTTAGGCTTAGCCACCCCACCACAAGTTCACTTATCTAGTGTAAATTTCTTATTTTCATATTATTGTTGTCCACCTTGAAGCTAGGTAGTAGCTTCCGTGTTCAAAGTGTTGAAAAACTCTCTTATTGATCATTTTCAACACATGGAAATGGATGTCTCATCCTTGTTCCATGAAAAAGAGGAGTTTTCAACAACTTTGGCAAGTTGTACATTTAAGCTTTGATAGATAGTTTGCTTTTTGTCTTTTTTTCCTTATATGCTTTGTTGCTCTTAAAGAGCTCTTTGTTGAGAAGTGTTGAAAACTCTCTCCAAGTTCCACTTTGAAGCATGGAAAATGGTGTTTCATCCTTATTCCATGAGTAGAGAGATGAGTTGACAACACTTTTTGATTTCTTTTGTTCATTTTGGTTGCTCTATGATCATCATATACTATCTTGTGACTTGATGATTTGTGAGTGAAGCATGCCTACCTCTTCTTTAACAAATTTTATGATAGGAAGGAGGTAAGGAGCATAGCACTTTTTGTGTGTTTAGCCAAGTCTTTTCCTTTTGCTCTTACGATCATCATGCAAGAAAATTTGCAATGATTGATGATTTGGAAAGCAAACCTCATTCCTCCTTGAAAATCTCCATGACAAGAGGGAGCAGAAAGGATGAACAGCTTTTGGAAACCCTTTGTTTTGCACTGTTTCAGTTCTGTGGCAGCAATTATTTCTCCAAAATTAGTGGCTGGCTGGCCAAACAGAGTGCCGGCCGACCAAACAGAGTGCCAACCGGCTAAACATTTGGCCGATGGAAACAAAACACAGCCGGTGGCCTCAAGACATGACCGGTGATGTGTGGGTATGGCCATCAAGCCACTCCCTGCCCCTCAAAGGCAAAACACAAGTGTTTGGTGGAAAACCAAACACAAGTGTTTGGTGGAAAACCAAACACAAAACAGTCGAGTCGAGAGATCCTGAGGCAAGGCACGTAGCCGAGACCTCCGGGAACTCAAGACGAACACAAACAAGGACGATCACCGA